AAAAAAAAAAAAAAAAAAGGAAGGTTAACTATCTTTGGCAATACTTAAAATTTCTGCCCCAGATAAAGAAATCACCCAATTCAACAATGTTAGGCAACTTTTTTAATGCTATATACGGTTGGAGGATATTCTAATAGCTGTTTCAATCAATTGATCAATAGGCACAGAATAAACAAAATTATATCCACTCTGGAGCATGCCTTTGTAGAAGATGTAATTAATGTTTTAACAGAAGCTCTGCTGTGGATTACATTTCAAATTACCACATGGTTACGGGCTCAAATGTGGGCTAGATGCCAAGTCATTTAACACAGATCAAGTAACATGAATCTGTGCCAACATTGTTTTACCTCATCACTACTCTTTCTAAGTGATCCAACAATGCTCTCAAACAAACTTCTTAAACTAATTGTTTTAAGAATACAATTCTGTTAAAATATATCTTTATTCCTAACTAGGAAACAACTTTTACTTATTAGCTATTTTAGAAGATATTTGCAAGCATACAAATAAGAAAAAATACTTACAGATTGTATATCTTGTAATGGTTTTTATGCTTTGAATCCAAAAACCTTAAAACAAAACAAACAAACAAAAAGCCGCCATTAACAAAAATGAGCTAACATTTGAAATTACATTAATATTATTGAGAAGAACCAAAAGACAGAGTCTACTTTTCCTAATCTCAAATACTATTAAGTAAAAAAACAACAACAAAAAAACCAAAACAAAACAACACAAATAAATATTTCCTTCATGGGTTTAAACTAGTAATCATGTCATTTGTAAATAATTCTTACATTACACAGATTTATACAATCTGAAGTAAAGCAAGGCTTTTCATAGATGAATATTTTCCTGATTTTCTGTTTTCAGCCCTTTCAATAACTTCTTGAAAAGGCAGCATCAGAATTTAACTCAACTTCATCTAGCTTGTACAGATTTTTAAGAAAGTCACAAGCAATCAAGTACTCTTAAAAATAACTCTGAAAATTCAGCAACCCTTTTCTTTCAAACTAAAAAAGTTGATATTTGAAAGATACAAGTAACAACTACTAGTTCTGTACAAAGTTTAATAAACATTTTCATATGTATATTTTCTCTCATTTGTCCCTCACAAATATCTGAGACGTAGAACTTACTCACATTTTACAAGAGTGAAGGTAGGTCTCAAAAGGATTAAGGGACTCGCCCAAGGTCATACAGCTTAGTAAATCAAAGAATTGAACTCCAAAATCACTCTTCAAGACAACTGGTTATGAAACTAAACAACAGCTGAAGGTACCACAAGCACTCATGCTAGGCACTCATTTTAAGCACTTTATGAATGTGAGGTAACTTTGCTTAATACTCAACCCTGTGATGAGGGTTAACAGAGAGCTTAGAAGAGTATAATGCTGAGGAAATTAGGGTAATAGAAAAGACAAATGATAAACGGAAGAATAAAATAAAAAACAAAGAGATGAGAAGAGGAACCTAAAATCTGCCTGAGAAGACATGGGTTTCATTACAAAGAATCTAGAATGAGAATGGCATTGCCCTTTTTAAGAACAATACTAGCAGCTAAAAACAACCAGGCAAAACCTTCTGAGTTTGAGGAAAAATTATTTCCCTCATAGAACTATAAGACAGATTATAAATCAAATGTGAGCACACAATAAAGGCATTTTTAAATGACCATCTCAAATAATTTTATTTTCCATATACTCTAAGGAAGTTGTTCAAAGATATTCTCCACCAAAGCAAAAATGGAAAACCATGGACTTGCAGAGTGGCTTAAGTGGTAGAACACCTGCCTAGCAAGTGTGAAGTCCTAAGTTCAAACCCCAATACCACCAAAAAAAAAGAAAAAGAAAAGAAAGGAAAACATGAAATAACATGACAGATTCTAGGAACTCCTCAAAGGAGAGGAAAAGAGGAGGGCTGGCAGAGTGGCTCAAGTGGTAGAGCACCTGTCTAGAAAGTACAAGGCCCTGAATTCAACCTTCAGTACTGTCAAAAGAAGAAGGAAGAACAATAAGAAAAAATCCTGAAGAGAGAACGAGTAACCCCAGGATGTTGGTCAAGGGGCATCTCCGGTAGATTGACATACTGCAAGCTTAAAGTGCAATTCATCAAGAATAGAAGAGCTCAAAAGGATCCTAAGATAAAATTGACCAAGTATCAAATGTGCTGAAATACACATGGAATTAGGGGCATGTATGAGAGTAAATTAAAATTAAGAACACAGAAAACTAGTCAACATGCTACAATACACATGCTTCCTAGTCAGGTGGCAGAAATGGGCATTCCTGAAGTATAGCATAATCTTGTAAGAGGAAAGCTTCAACAAAAATTAGAAACTTCAAAATTTTTTACTACATTGCAGTTTCCTAGAAATTTTTGATAGGCTTGGTTAATTTTTTAACATTAATTTTATATTAACAAAAATAAAAAAAGAAACTACAACTCTGGACATATTTCCAACTAAGAATGAGGAACAAGTCTGAGTGGAAATCCAGGAAACAGGGAGAAAGTATTCACGTAATTTTAGAGTTCACGTCAGACAAGGAAGGAAAGGCTGGCATAGTTAGATATGATATAGATCAGTAAAACAGATTTCAAAAGCTTCATTTAAATAGCAGTCTATGAATTCATAAATCAATCTAAAAGGAAAGATTATAGAGAGAATTTAACAACTAAAACTCTGTACATGTAGCTACAAATGATTCTAGTTTTAAAAAACACAAAAGAAAAATTTTCTTAGAAAACCAGCAAGTTAAATATAGAGAATATACTCACAGAGCTCAGATTTAAAGGTACATATATAATGGCCAAAGGGGGAAGGGGCATAATCATAAATTAATATAAAACAGCAGCATATAAAAAGGAACATAAATAAAATAAAAACAAAAGTGGGATGGGGACCAAACATAATAATAATAATAATAAATAGACAGCTGTATAACACTAGAAACAGGGGAAAAAAAAATCAGGGACTCCTAAATTCTCTTTTTATTTCCATCTTCTTTTTGTCTAAGAGAAAATTCTTCTGACCAAAGGGTACAAGACAAGTTCCTTGGATTAAAAACCATTTTCTACTTGATAATTTAAGCAAGGCTATTTTTTAAAGAATATTTCTTAACAAATAGCTACAGGCTGAATAATCTTTTATATTCTGTGATCATACACATTAATAAAGCAAATAATTAGCAGTCAGTAATTCAAAACAAAAGATAACCCACTAATTTTGTACAAAATTCAAATGGTCATTATAAAATTGTCTGCAAGATGAATAAAAGTGGTTTATTTTTCAGAGTTCATAAAAATCACTAATAATAAAACAATCTAAAAGAAAGTAAGACAGGGTCAGTGACAGGGTCAGTGTACACATAACAACACCTCTTCCCCTAATACGTAAGGTCAATGAAACAGCAAAAAATTACTTAACTTCACAATTAAAGAAATTTAACCAAATAATATGCCTGTCATCCCAGCTACTTAGGATGAAGAGGCAGGAAGATGGTGGCAAGTTCAAGGCCAGCCCAACCCAGCCCGTGGAAAATTTAGGGAGACCCTACCTCAAAAACAAATGAACTTGGGGTAAAGCTCAAGTGGAAAAGTGCTTGCGGCCATGGGTTTAATCCCTAGTCTCACCAAAAAAAAAGAAAAAGAAAGAAATTTAACTAAATCACAACTACCACTTTTTGCCAAGAAATTACAAAAAGTTAAAAGTATGACAATATCTAGTTTGTCAAGCTTGTGAGGGGAGGGAAGCACCATTAAGCATGTTGGGTCTAATACAAAATATTATTTCTGAAAGCCAAAGTTTGGACTCAATTGATCTAGAAACTCAACAGCTAAGAGCTAGTCCATGGATCTATTTGCAAAAGAACACCGAGATACATGTATGAAGATATTTGTTAGAGCACTGTTTTTCAATGACAAAAACTGGAAACAAGTTAAATATCCATCCTATGGCACTATTTATTATGGTATAACAATAAAATGAAACAAACAAAAAAAACAGGTAATGTCCACGCCAATATTAAAGTTTCCTAAGATATAGTAAATGGGGAAGAAAAGCAGGGTATAAAACAGTGTGCAGTATCTCCCCATTTACTTTTTACTTTTAAGTGGAAAAAACAAGAAATAATTAAAAGCTTGAATGTATTAGTCCCATACCTTATCCTGAGACGGGGAAAGGAATGGAGACTGATCTAATAATCCAACATGAATACCCAATTAAATCTCCATAAAAATACCTAAAAGATGTGGGTTAGAGAGCTTCTGAGTTGCGGAACAGATCACATGCAAGGAGAGTGGTGTACACCAATTCCAAAGGAACAGGGGCTACTTGCACTGGGGACCTGTCTGGACCTCACACTGAGAATCTCCTCCTCTGGCTTGTTCATGTGTAGCCTTTATCACAACCTTTATAATAAACCTGTGTCCCAGTTCTCACAGCTGCTATAACAAAATACCTGTGCATTTTTTTTTGAGATGGGGGAGGGGTCTCACTATGTTGCCTAGGTTGCTGTCAAAACTCATGGCCTCAAGTGATCTTCCCACCTTAGCCTCCTGGGTAGCTGAGGTAATAGATGTGTACCACCATGCCCAGCTAGATTTGGTAATTTATAAACAACAGAAATTTATTGTCTGAAGTTCTGGAAGCTGGAAAGTCCAAAATTTTAAAAAGCAAGGGTTTGGAAAAAAACATGGGTAAACAGTGAAAACAAATATTTTTTTAAATGGGGGTACAACATAGGAGAAATTTGTAGGGGACACCTGTCATCTTTAGACTATTCAGCAAATAAACACCACTTCAATTTGAACAGAAGTTAGAGAGATAAGAAGCAGGTGTTTCTTTCCTCATCTTTCTCATCACATGTACAGGCCTGAAGCCAATTAGGTCCTTCTGAAGTTTTGGATACTTAATCCTATGACACGGTGTAGGTCAGCCAGAGAGTCTTCACAGACATCACCAAAAATGCTGCAAGTTCACTAGCAATCTCCAGTATCCAGTCAGCAGTACCTCGTACAGCAAAGCTCTAAGGAGCAGTGTCTTAAGCACACTGCGATTTTGACAACTTCCTGGCCATGCCTCGCTTCTCCAAGCTTCTATCCTTTTTCAAGTCTGATTCTGAACTACCTAATACTTTTCAAAAATTCCTTCCTGGTTAACTTAGTCATTTTCTGTCGTTTGCATCCAAGAACTCATATTTAAAAAAACGTATTTTTCTATTGTTAGTTTTGAGTGGGGGTTGTTTAAATCATCCTTTTTTTGCGTGCTCCCTTACTTTAAACTTCTGATCTCTTATCTGGCACTATGGTACAGTGAGACTCACAAGAGAAAAAAAACAACATTTGAAGAAATATAGCACAGCATTTGAAAAACTGTGTATGGGAAGAGGTAATACTTTCTTAAAAACTTGAATATTACTTAGGGAAACACTCACCACTGCTGCCCCTCCCACTTCCTCTCTTTTCCTCCCAAGGATTTCATGCCCACAGTTGGCTCATTGTCTTGTAAATGTGACACAATAGAAAGGCAGAAAAAAAGCAAGAAAACACTTTCCAAAGGGAAATGGAAAAATTTGCCTATAGATATTTGGAAAGTA